TGGTAATGACTAATGAGTAGTTTATTTTTAATGAAAGAGAATTTTATCGTTTTATTATTTATTTATTCTACAATTATTTTTACCAATTAAATATTAAAACACTCATAATAACATTTCTTATTTTGTACTATTTCTTTTTTCCATTTCTGACACAACAAGTGCTATAAGATGAGGAGTGAGCTGACCAACATGAGGAAAAGGCAACGAATTCAGACGCGAAATGGCGGGCGATTCAGCAAACAAAACCCTCGAAATCCCAATGCTTAAACTTGAACCAGTCATTCTCCGAGAACATGGACGATGGCGATCAACGAACGGCGATGAGTTAGATTCCTTTCTCTGCGGAGTATGCTTATCAAACGACGGGCAAACAGCAATCAGGGGCACAATCGATTGTTGCGACCATACCTTCTGCTTCGTTTGCATCGTAAAGTGGGCCAAGGTGAAGTCTTTTTGCCCTATCTGCAAGCTCACCTTTACCACCATCTATGGACCACAGAAGAACGTTGTCTTTGCTTCCAAACGCTTCGTTAACGTCCCTCAAGGAAATCAGGTCACGTTTTAATTATTTTCTCATACCCCGTGTTTAATTTTAAGAAATTGATTATTAATGCTAATTATTGTTTTTATTTTTGAGTTTAATTTGCATAGAGCTTTTTTTTTTAAGATTGCCTCACTCATAGCAATTATCATTTTATTAGGATGAAAATAGATTCGAATCATAACTATTTGAACAAGAGATACATGCATTTATTATTAAATTAAATATTTAAATAACAAATGTCCGAATGGATTAATTTTTCACTCTTATTAATAAAAAAGTCATAATTAAACGCTATTAATTATCTGACTATTCATAAATTATCTAACTATTCGTAAATGATGTCATTTACACGTTTATAAATTATGTAACTATTCATAAATGATGTCATTTATAATTACTTAGAAAATTATTTTTTATAAGTATTACAATTTTATCATTTCTATGATTACTTTTACGTGCATGTTGAGATGAATTGATATTTGTTACCATTGTAGGCTAACCATCCCTTTGGAAATGCAACATCTGGGCTACTTAATCCTGATGAAGAAATTAAATGCCGCGTTTGCCATGGTATAGCTGATGAAAGTAACCGTCGGCTACTTTGTGATATCTGTGATTCAGCTTTTCATACTTATTGTGTTGGCTTCAGTGCGACTGTACTTGCTGGCGGTGCTTGGTTTTGTTATGGCTGTGCTCTTTCTAGGTCTAACCATGACAAAATTAAAGTTAATATTGCTATTGACAATCAAAAGATATCTGGAAACTTTAATGTGAAATTACCTGTGGAGACGAGCGTTCCATATTTTGGTGTTGCAAGGGAATCAAATATCCCTGAGGTTGGACATCATAATCCAAGTTTCTCTTCACTCCCTAACTATTTGTCACCTCCTTTTCTCGCTGGAAGGAGAATTGTGGATGAAGCCAATGGTCCAAGTGAAAGAGGTCATCATTTGTCACCTCATCTTTGTGGCAAAAAGAGTGGGAAGGGTCGCACCAGGGCTAGGGTAACAGAATTAGAGCAATTGGTGCATAGTCTACAACAAAAGATAGAGGATGAGCAGGAAAAAAGGGTTAGATTGGAGGATCACATGAAGCAAATCATTGAGCAAAATAACCGAGAGCGAATCGACCAACGTATTGAGGAGAAAATTCATCAGCATTTTGATCAAATGTTGACCATGCGTGTGCAACAAATGTTGTTAAAAATGCATTCAGCAGTATCATCTTCAAAGCCACCAGTTTGAGTAAGCAACTTTATGTGATTGCTTGAAAACGAAAAATCATCTACTATAGAATCTATTCTCATCCGAGCAGTTTGGTTTTGTTTTTGGTTTCTAGTTCATTTCGAAACAGCTTATTTAAGATTGGGAAAGAATTAGCAGTTTGTAGAGCGAATAAATCTTGCACCCAAATGTACCTTGCATTGCCATTAACCTGTAGTTTCCCTTTGCAATGAAACTTAATGACAGCCATAAAGCGTTCTACCTAAGTAATTTGGGACAATGAGCTTTGTTCTTTATATATATAAATAAATCTAGAGAGTTGGTTGGCTATGGTGGCTGAGTAGACCATGGTGCTGGTGGAGACCACACCCTCCAACCATGCAAGCCAATTCATTGTAATGACCTTATTTGACTGATCGTTTGTTCTGCAATCTCTTCACTAGGTAGCTGTTCCTTGTGAGTTGATATTCTTATATAGTAGTATACTATATTGTAAGTAGCCAAATGATAAGTCTATACCGATACAGAAGGAAAGGATTCGCTGAGAAGTTTCAATACTGTTTTGCAAGAGCTTTTAGCAGTCAAGAATCTTACTTGTCAGCTCCTATTCTTCCTTAGGGGAAAGATTACGAGTTCAAATATCTCACTCTTCAGTATTAAGTAGACATGTTAGTTTCCTAGAACGGGGCCCATCTGTGATGACCTATTTCATAAAGACATTTTATGACATTGCCATCGATGATCAGGAAAATCTCTTATCTGTTTTCATTGTATTATCAGATACCAATAAAATGTATTTGCTTTTTAGCCTTGAACTCGAAATTTGCAGAAATATTGCTATTTTAGATGTGTGTCATGTTTGAAGGTACGTAAAATAATATATTGTGGAAAAATAGCCGTGGTTTAATTTATTATGTATTCATCTTATGATTATTATGTTGTGTGTGTATGTGATACGCAGATTTGTTCTTGGATGCACAAGATGCCTTATTAGATTTTGTCATCTCATTTCTCTCTGTCTTTCTGTTTCACAGATTCAATCAATATCAATGATAAGCACACATGGCTTGTTCCAAAGATGATCGAGCTTCTGGGCTGAATTCCTTACCGTCAGATACTAGGACTTGGGTGAAGGTGCTTTTTTTCTTTTTTCATGGCTAACAGACTTGTGCAGTCGTTCATGAATACTTTCGTCAGGGAAAACGGTAGTCTATCTTGCTGTTCAAAACATATAATGTGTATATTATTGGTGACATTTATTAATACATAATTATCTGTTTTATAAAAAAGAGAGAAGAGTAGACAAAATATGGTGCATCACCCGACACCAAAATATAAATAAATTGCATCCATCATTTCACGAGACAGAATCAAATAATATGATAATAAAGATTTAGTTTGATGTTTCCTGTTTTTTTTTTTTTTTTTTTCAAATTCATTACTCAATTATTTTTTGACACGTAATGAGGAAATACATAATTTCTAAATGGTAACTTTTATTTCATATAATTTACTACGTGATATTAAAGTTATCAAAACCACATGACAACGTGATAAATGATGTTGATCAATGGAAGTTAATTAATAATTAATGAAAGATTTATTTAATTTAAAATTAAAATTTAAAAATTTAATTAATCGCAATAAAAGTTAAGTACTTGATTGATTTTTTAGTATAATTTAGTGCCCTAGTTAGATATTTTTAGATCAGTATGAATTCGAAATCATAAATTTTAACTTTATTAAATTCTTACAAGGCTCTTTGTAAATTCAAAAAATTACACATCACTCTTATTTCTATTAATTTTGTTCTAATTACCACAATTAGGTGAATTCGTACTAAATTGTTAGAAAAAATATGGTAATTAATTTTACCATGGTTAAGGCAATTGACCTGCTTGATTTGTAACCATCGTTTAGCGAGACAAAGTATTCTACTGATAAAGTTCTAATAGATTACTTCTGACCAATTAAGATTGCCTAATTGGCAACCTTCATTTAGTGATAATTTAATGAGAACATAGATTCACTTTTTAATTAATTAGAGAGTTTTTTTCAAGTCTTTCTAATGATACTTGATTTCTTCTCTCAACTAAAAATTATTAATCGCTGAATTAAAATGAACATTGAAATGCTTATAATTTGATTTAGTTGACAATTGGTCTTAATTTAGGAAACAAATCTTAACTTTTAGCCTAATGGCCATTTTATATTAAAAAATAAATTTCAAAAAAATATATGTTGCCTTAACATTCATTAAGTGAGGGAATTATCTGTGTAGAGTTTATTTTATTAGTTTGCTTTGAGTATCTTTGGTTTAATAATAAACTTTTTTGTGTATTTTTAAATCTTTTTTAGATTAATCTTTGTTTAATTTTAAATAGGTATGTTTATCACTTGAATTCTTGCATAGGAAACTAGTTCCCCATGCAACCAAATGTCTCATTTTCCTCAAATCTTGATACATCATTTATTTAATTCTTTTCTTATTTCTTTATTATTATTTCTCTTTTCTCTTTTTCACAATTTCAAAACTTTTGTTCTTTTGGGTAAGCCACAATTTCAATTCTTTTGATTTTTAACATTTTTTCTCTTGAGATTTCTTGATTTTTTTCTCAATTAAAATCTTGTGAATATTCTTTTAATAGCATTCTTATGAATAATTTTTGTTGCAATAAAGATTAACTTGTTAATTTTATAGAGTAAAATTACAAAAATAAGTTTTTAGGGACATTTACAAAAGAATTTTGAAGTGTGAATAAATAGGTTAACTTTGAATTGATAGCATTTTGTTATTTTTATTAGGTAAAATTAATAGCTTCATTTTTGAGAGAATAGAGGTTATTCATAATGTGGTAATTAAGAAAAATCTCATAGGGTCGAAAGCTAATTAAAGATGTAAAGTGAATAATTGATGATCAGAAAATAAAAAAGAAACTTAAATAAAAAAAAGATGGGATTACATTTCCTTCCCTGAATTTAGTTGCAAAAGAAAATAAAAACAAAAAAAAAAGTGATTTTTCATGCTTAAATTTGTGTAATTTTGGGTAAGACTAGCTTTAGGTCATTCAATTTATTATGTATCATAATGTTAAATGATTTCAAGACTAACGGGCTTTCAAGCACGAAAAGTGACCCAGTTAGTGGTTTGGGCGAGGCCCAACAGACCCAATCCAAGGCCTTGATTCTTAACCGAGTTGGATTCTCAATTATTGACTTCTGTTGAGTGAACGCGAGGATCCAAGACGGCTGAATCAGGAAGACAAAAAATGGCGGGTGACTCAACATCCGGCTCGCCATCTCCTTCCCCAAACAAACGCCTCAAAATCACTACCCCTAATTCCAAGTCAATCATTCAGGACGAGCCCAGTGGTCATCACCTACAACAATCGGGGGACGACGATGATTCAGATTCCGAGATATGCGGAATATGCTTATCGGACGGTGGAAAAAGGGCCATCAGAGGCAAAATCGACAGCTGCGATCATTTCTTCTGCTTCGTTTGCATCATGGAATGGGCCAAGGTGGAGTCGCGTTGCCCTATGTGCAAGCGCAGGTTCACCGCCATTCGGAGACCGCCCAAGGAAGGTGTCTTTGCTTCAGAACGGGTCGTTAACATCTCTCAGCGAGACCAGGTCTCGTTTCTTTTATCGTTGTCGAGTTTAATTGCCATTTTTTTCTGTTCTATAAAACAATGATGATAGTTAATTGGTTTTATATTTGAGTTTAGTTTTTGGCGTGCTCTGTTAAATTGAGTTCTATGATTAATGTTTTTATAAATTTAATTATTATAATTACAGAGACGGGCTATATGAGGAGGATAACTGACATTTGGGGAAACTTTTTTTTTTTTTTATAATTGTTCTTTAGTTCTGATAAATTCTGCTCTGGGCAATTTGATACCTGACTGAATTCTGTGTATCATTCACTCAAGGAAAGTTTTATTTGCCCTAGCTTGAGATGAAGTGCAAAAATGCCACCACTCAAGTTACCATGCTCTTAGTTAGACATTGGGCTTCATTTGTCAGTTAAAGAGGTGGAATTCACTAGTAAAAAAGGTCATAGAATCATTTACCACATGGATGCTGTCCTTTACTGATATTTGTTACCTTTTCAGGTTTACCATCTCTTTGGAAATGCAACATCTGGGCCTTTTGATCCTTATGCAGAAGTTAAATGTAGCGTGTGCCATGGTATAGCTAATGAAAGTCTTCTACTACTCTGTGATCTCTGTGATTCAGCTGCTCATACTTATTGTGTTGGCTTGGGTGCGACTGTGCCTGATGGTGACTGGTTTTGTCACGATTGTGCTCTTTCTAGGTCTGAACATGAAAAAACTGAAGTAGATACTAACACTGGTAATAAAATGATCTCTGGAAATTCTCATGTAAAATTATTAGCAGAAGCAAATGTTTCAGTTTTTGATATAGTACGAGAATCAAATATTCCAGTGTTTAGTGGACATAATGCAAGCGTCTCTTCACTTCCTACTTATTTGCCACCTCCTCTTGTCCCCAAAAGGGAACGCAATGCTGTGGATAAAGTAAGTGGTCCAATTGAAAGAAGTAGGAATACCATGGGCAATTCAACTGAACCAGGTGCAAGAACATTGGGCCTTTGTCGAAATGTGCACAGCCGCATACAAGCTCTTCGTGAAAATTGGCATTCATTGCAAAGTAGATCATTAGGTTTCTCTTCTAGTATGGTTGAATCTGGTGGTGGAAGTCGTAGAAAAGGTACGGTGGCTCTCTTTTCAGTGTCTAATCATAGTTCAAGTGAACCACAATCATCCTCTTCCACAAGTGAACAATCTACTTCTCAGAACGGTTTTGTTGAGCCTAAGGTAGACTTATATGATACTGACAAGGCTTGGAAAATGATGAATATTGCCAAGTCAATGCAAAAGAATTGTAAAAGGAATAGTTGTCTTAACCAGACCTCAACAAAACCCTCTTGCCTGGGAAGTGCTTCAAAAGATGCAATCAGCAGTTCAGGCCTTCATATATCGCAAATCCAGCGAATTGAAACTAGGAATGAGGAAAGAACAGGAAAACAGATGCATTACAGGTATTATTATCGTGAAAGGGAAAAGGAAAAACACAAATCTCCAGAAATGGACAAGCAAAAGAGGATGGTTATGAGTATACAATCCAGTGAGAGAGTTGTTACTTCTCATTCACCTCGATTTTCTCCATCTCCATCATCTACAAAGTTCCAGATTCAAAATGACGACTGCCATGTGAATGGTGTGAGGCCATTTGTGAAAAATGCTCAAAATAAATGTCAAGAATCATCATCAAATGCAAACAAGGATGGTGGATATTCTTGTTCAACTAGTTCGGCTGGTTCAGTGCTACGAGGATCTGCCGATTCATTAGATTCCAACTTGGAGTTCGGTGTATCTATTTTAGATATACCTGAGAGGAGAACCAGGTTAGAGAAGAGTTGTTCCAAAAGCAAGGATAGAAAAGATGATAATGTCAAATGTGAGATCCAATCTCTTGTTAAACTCAATTTAAAGCTCCTAAGCCAAGACAAACGATTAGGTATGATCACTTTTTTTTTTTTTATTTGGATAGGAGGAATGATCACTACAATTGAACCATATTAAGGTTTTACTATAACAAGTGTCTGAAGAATGCTTGCTAACTAGATTAGAGAGTTAGTATTTAATGTATTCTTGGAATAATAATTCATTAAACAAAAGCAATACATTCAAGGTAAATTACTGCATTAAATGCACTGGTATTTCTTAAACAATAATGCATATCTGGTTGAGGCTGGAATTATTTGACCATGGAGGCAGGTGATGTTGAGATCTATTATCATCCTGATTGCGGAAGTATTCTAATTACCACCAAGTGTTAAGCTATTTTTTCTCTTTTATTAAACTGCCGAAGGACCTGTACTATTAAGTTTGTGGAAAATCCTTTGGATTCTGGCTAGCATGCCAACAAATTTGATATTATACATGAAAGAAAAATGTAGCAAAACAATAGCACCTCAACAAGAATGGAGCAACAAAAAAATGAAAAGTGAAAGGAATTTACCTGAATGATTTAAAGATTTAGTTGGAAAGCCATTTTTTTTTGTTTTTGTTTGGGTGTATGTGCGGCTAGTTGCGATGCCTTTAATCATTTTCCATGAAATTATGAGTATATTCTTTTGGCATTGCCATTGTAAACTCTAGTTTATTGTATCTTGGATGCTTTTTGATTTATGAAAGATAGTATGACATATTGTGTGTGCAGGGGTTGATGCATTCAAGGAGATGGCTAGGCTTGCCACCCATACCATCTTGGCAGCATGTGGTTTTCAACACTCGACATCCAGTGTCCGCCCTTTTCCAAGCTCAGTATGTAGCCACACTGATGATATTAAACTGCGACATAAGTCCACTTTGATGCCAAATTCTTGCCGAGAGTGTTTTTATGTTTTTGTGAAGAATGTTGTTTGTTCCATTATGATTGAGAAAGGTCATAGTGGACCTTTATAAGGTTGTCAATACCAAGCCGTTTTGTCATATTTATACATCATAAGGTGGATTGCAATTCTCTTCCCCTTGCAGTCAAACGGCCATTTTCCCTCTTTGACCCATTTGTTGTTTTTCTGTAAAACAAATGTAAGTTGAATTGGGAGATAATGTATCTAGTGCAGTTTGTTCCGAAGCACATTGAAAGCACGTGAATAAAGTAGAATGGCTTTGTTCTATTTCTTAGCTTTATGTTTTCCAGGTTTTCCCCACTTACCATGAATGATTTTGGGTATTAGTTAGACAATTTTGTCCTCTCTGCCTTGATGGTTGAAGCAAGAATCCAGGGCCATATCCTTGTCATGAGCCGAGCTCTTGTACTGTCGCTCCAGCCCCATTATGCAATCAAATATTTTGATCCTTTTCACCAGTACTGAGGGTTATCGCTTGGGTAAAGCGGAAGCACGAGTACAATGGGCGATGGATTACCATTGTCATTTGCTGAGTTCTTACTCGTCTACATTGCGAAGCAAAGAGGGGTCTTTGTCGGTACCATAAATAGGTAAAAGTAGCAAGATTAGAATAGGCAAACCCTTAGCCGGTACATGAAGGAAGGGGTTCAAATTAGTTTCTTACAACAAAGTTATGTAGTCCCTTTCGTCAATTGCTGCTATGTTGCTGGCATTGTCTCTGTTGCTTTGAAATCACGAAGATGGGTCTCCTTTTATGTTGAGACCTTACATCAATTGTGGGCAAATGTCAGCATCCCCTCAACCTAGAAATAGAATTTGGGAGTGTAAAACTCTCGGAATAATCAGGCCATAGCCACAGCTGTGATGTGGTAAATTAGGTACTCAGGTTTGCTGGCTATTTAACCAGCAATTGACCTGCAGATGTGGGAGGTGATAGTTTTCTGCTCCCAAGCTCTAGGTTTGATTTTTTGAACCGAACTACATTGAGATGCTCGGCTTGCAACCACAAAGTTAAGGGCATGACTGCATGAGGGAGAGGGACAGCAATTAATAAATGACAAAATAAACCAGGGATCTTCCACACAAAATTATTCAAAACTAGTCTTGTATTAAATCACACCATCACACACTTCACACGAATATACATATGTGTGAAAGTTATTGTTGGACTTCAAAACCTTTCACCTTTTTTCCTCGATACTCTTTGTATCATATAATTGTACAGAGTCAACAAGAAGGAAACTCTGAAAACCAGAATATCAATTCAAATAAGGATAGAACCTTGAGGCAATCTTTTCTCATTTCCCTGACTCAAACTCTGATCCCAAGTATATTTACACCCATACACTACCCTTGCCAGCTATGATTTCTTCTTCTAAGGCTATTTATCGTGCAAGAAACCTATGTAAAAATGCCAATTCCCAGCACTAAAAGGAATTTATTCTTCAAAAACCTTAAAATCTACATCAACAGGATATAGACTTAACCAACTCAAAACTGGCATGAAGTCCCAAGCCTCTGTCTCTCCACAATTGTTCGAGACCTTCGCTTAGCAAAAGCAGGGTAAAGAAGCTCCTTGAACTTTTCAATAAAGAGATTCCATTCCTCCTCATTCATGTCAGCAAACTTCACAAGGCTTGTAGATGTAGGAAGATGCTCATTTGCACTTCTTCTCATCCTAGATGAGTAGCCAATTATCTTCCCTTTTTGTTTTCCACCGTGGTAGTGGAAGCCTTTCTCACCCAAGTTAACCTTTTTCAAAGAGAGAGATAACCTTGAAACAGTATAAACCCAATCGTCTTTGTGCCTACAAGCAACTGCAGCACTAATGGGCCCTCCATCCACCTGAATTTCAGACTCTTCAAGATTCTCATCTACTTGAGCTAGAAGGTCTTGGTCATTAAGACTTTCAGACCGATAATAAAAGGGCAGTTTAGCAAACAAACCAGACATCTTTGGGCCAACATTGACCTCTGCTGCCTCACAATCCATGTCAAACTGAAACTCATTTTCTCTTTCATCAGCTTCAAAAAATGACATGTCGATCTCCATTGTGAGTTTTTTTGCCTCAAGGCACACAACCTCAAGTTCACTTGGCTCCTCCTCTTGGCCATGGAACTCCCTACTCATCATCTCACCAATTTCGGCAAGACACAGTCCAAAAGCAGCTGCTTCCTGAAGAAATATTGAGCAAAGTACCAAAACACGGAGACATGCCTCTCGAATCATGGCCAATTCTGCCCGCAACATATCACAGTCACGAACTGGATCAAGATTCTTTATATACTCAAGTTCATCTGCAGAGAAAGGAATTGATGCCTGAGGCCAATGGATCCACTCAAAATACGGGTCCTCCAAACTCTCAGGCAAGCAAAGGCCATGATCTATTGGAATGAGCTGAACTTGACCAAAGCCCTCAACCCCACTAAGCTTCCTGACCAAAAGGTTTCCTGCATGCCTGTCAGTGTTAAAGATCCTAACATCCAAAATCCCTATTCTATGTACAGCATCAACCGGAAAGCTTGAGGTTCCATGGTCACTAGCATCAAAGTCATGAGGAATGAACTGTTGCAGTGATGCAATCTTGCTGACCTTCTTCTTGTTCTGATGCTTATTCCTGTTCACACCATCATTGACATTGAAGACTGAGTGAGTAACCTTTACAAGAACAGTAGGAGGCACGTTGGCAAAGTGACCATAATCTAAAAGGTAGGCAGCTACTTCTCGGAATCCTGTTTCCCCTACTCTCACTGAATGTTTCAGACCAGGCTGGCCAAGAGCTTTCCCTACAAAGCCTTTCGGGTTATTTGGTGCAAAAGGTTCTTCATCTGTCGGCTTCACAATAGCCACATTCTCACCTTTGATGTTTCTAAAGTAATAAGCACCACCAAGCCCACTATTTACAGGGATCGGATCAACACCATTCTTGATTGCCCTAATAATGTCCTTCACCAATTCAGTTGTTCCAGCAAAACGATTTGAGCACCCCAATATTTCAATTGGACCACTTCGATCTCCCTGTTGAAAATTCTTCCCAGTAGGTGAGAGACATGGAGTGGATGAACTCCTGTGCATGGCATTTCGAGTGAGAAGAAGTGGGGAATCATTTCGAATAGCACTGAGATCATTCTTTAAAGTGAGATCACCATATGTTAAAGAGCTCTCATCTGTAGGGACATTAAGGGCAAGCTGAAGCCTCCTTTTAACTGTATGAGCATTGTCATTTCGATCCAATTCTAATCCCAAGACACAGCCAGTTTCAGTCTGCACAAATACGCGCCGCGTCCTAGAAGGCCTAGCCCATGTATTCCCATGGTACTCTCCATTACATATACCATTAAAAACGGCAACAGCCACCTGGGTCTGTACCGGACTGTCCAACTTACTAGCCATAACAAGGTACAGAAAATTAGGTGACGGTAATGAAGAGATCCTTCTCTCTCAAGCGGGTGGTGCCCAACTTAACTGCCGACACCAACAGAATGAGAGAGGTAATCGCATGCCAAGCAAGCATTAACTGAACCAGTCGACGTAAACTGCCCCAAAATAGAAGTTCACATCAAGAACAAAAGGCCACAACGTGTGGCCGCGGGCGAAAAAGTAGCAAAACAGCTACATTTGCATAGAAACCACTGATGGAACTGCATGATTTAGAAGAACCCAATTAAAAAAAAGGACATAATTAGCTGCTATATAATTAAAAAAAATTCAAAACATTTATTAGTTATTGTTAATTAAGGAGCAATAACCAAGAAAACAATAATTTTTTTATTACTGATTTCTTTGAGCATTTTTAGAAGATTAAAACAGAAAATTACGAAAGAATTACAAGTGGCTATTACTTGAATCTATCTCTTTACAAATTTATAATAATAATAATAAAAAAAAACCCATTTTTGAAAGAACAAAAACATCGCCATATGGATCATTATGAAGACAAAACATTTAAACACAAGATCTCAGTAAAATTTAGAAACAACAACGAAGAAATAAACGTACGCAAAAGAAACCAGAGGCAAAGATCAGCCAGCCGAATCTGCCACTAACTTCTGATTTCCAACACTTAAAACTAATTTCTTTTTATTTTTAAGACGGAAAAAAGCTACAACTTTTTTAAGTAGAAAGGAAATCTTGGTTCCATTTTCTTTCCTTCTTTTATTCGTTTCTCGTAATCTTTTACAGAGGAAGAACGAAAGAAACAAGAAATGCAGTCGCATTTAACAAGAGAAAATCAATGACGAAGAGAAGATAGAAGAAACCTTTAGGATGCCTAAGAAACGAAAACTCACCAAGTTTGCTGAACAGAGAGAAGGAAGAGGAGGACAGATCACGGCCGTTAATGAGAAAAAGCCGCGGACAGAGAGAGTATGCAATATCAACGGCTGCAATTTGACCGTGATTCCATCACCGGTAACCTCTAAACCTTCTCTCTCGCTCTCTCTCTCTTTGCCTGTGTGTTTGCCTCTGAGGAGAAGGGAATGCAGTTAAATAGTGTCGACTCTGACATGAAAATTGAGTAAAGACTTAGACCGTTTTCTCCGTAATTACCAAAAACACCTCCTATTGACATCATTTGACTCCTAAGGACTTCTCTGCATTGATTATTATTATTTTTTTTATTTTTTTTTATTTTTTTTATCAAAGTTGTAGAAGAAGGAAAATGTGTTTTTAAATTTTCTAGATCTAATAAGAATTATAACAAAAGGGAGGTAGTTTTTTCCGGGGGAAGCGGAGCAGGAAACGGTAGTTGTACGCATAGGTACAACAATAGTATCAATACAATTTCTTTTTAAAGTAATTAATGACATTCTTAATTGAAATTACACTAATGACTTATGATGATAATCACAAATTAATCATTGTGAGAGTGTTTTAAGATTAAAATCTTAAATATGAATAAGCAAAAAACTTTTAAGGGTATTATTATAAGCAAAAATATGGTGATTATACTAGATTCTTCTTGTTAAGAATTAGTTAGATTATATAAGTTTATTCACATTTTTTAAAATCAGAAAATATGAACGAAGATTTTAAAATATTACAATATATTTCTTTTTATAAATAGGTTAACAGATTAATTCAAATGAAATGATGTTGTAGTTAAATTAATAATTTACTTTGTGTCTTTTTTTTTTGTGATGGAAAAAAGTTATTTAAGTATTATTTTTGTATACATATGATTTCGGGTCATACATAAATTCCATCTCATATTTTTTTTGCCTCTTTGCAAGATTTAAATTGAAACATTACAATTCAAAATGTCAAGTTCCTAAAGTTGTCTTGTTCCCTTAAAATATGTTGAGGTTTGTTATTGTAAGTAGTCAATATGGGTTGGACTTTCCAAAGAGAAAAATGAAAAGCTGGTAAACGAGAAAGAAGTAATTTTGAATGGTCCTGGCATGCAGCCCATGAACGTTTATAGAGTCAAGGCAAAGGGGCTACGACCACGAAAAGAAATTTTGTACTTGTTGGTCAACATATTTCACTTAATTGGAGACAAGCCAAGTACGTAAAACATGGACCATCGGATACCGTGGAGGTTATGGATAGAGGGGGAGTTGGTGGCCAAACAGGTAACGCTTGCTTGCTGGCAGTAGCAATATGTGACAGTGTCAGATTATTGGATCTTCAGCATTTTTACTTAGTCTAATGTTGATTTTGTTTTATTTTTTTTCTGAAAATAAATTGGATGATAAGAGGAAACAAATTTAAGCGAAAAACCAAAAATACTTTTTTTCAATTTTTAAATCTCCAATTTTGTTTTATTTTTTTAATGAAATTCAAACCAAATTCAATCGAAATAAGTAATTTGTGTTGGTTTGACTTTATTCCTTTAAGATTTTTTTTTCTTTTCTCAAAAATGGTTTAAAATTCTTTTTTTATGTCAATGAAGTGGGATTTGAATCTAAATCAATTAAAACAACCTAATGGATGACGGATAAGAAGCGTCCCAATTCTTCATAAAAACTTAAAAAATTAGTTTGATTCACAGAATCTTTGATTTTTGTTTAAAATATTTATTATATTCTCGAGAGCCTATTGATATTTGATTCATTTGACAACATGTTACTCGAAAATATTTTATTTCAAAAAATCAAAAATTTAGTCAAAGAAATCTTGTACTCACACTTTTTAGATAATATTTTGATTCGAAAGGAAGGTTAATTTTCTCTCTTTTATATTTTTAATAAATGCTTTTTTAATCCATAATATTTTGTAGTTGATCGAAATTCCAAAAAAAAAGCCCCAAAGTTAATTTCCATAAATCCTAAACTAGAAATATGCTGCAATAGTTATGTTTATATATATATAATTTTATTTTTCTCATTTTTTAAATAATTTCTTGTCATTTATGTTACAATATAAATTTTCATTCTTAAATAAATATTATAGATATGTCTTTTTATATAAATAACTTTAAAATTTTAAATCTAATTTGGGAAAATACATGGCAATTGTAATTTTATAGTCAACTGTTTTTCTATTAGTTGCATTTGATTACTTAAATATTAGAAGATAGTTTAGTAAGATTATGGGAATGTTATATTCCCTCGTCAACCAAACGAGGTAATATTATGCTCAGAACATGACCATCAATCGCAGACTTGATATGTAATTATCAAGTTGATTTCGACATTTTTGAGGTAAAATCCTATTCCCAAGGGACATCTAACTTTTTTTGTGAATTTTAAAAGTTGAAAGCAAAACTTACACAGTTTTAGTATGATGAATTACTTATTTGGTTACTCAATTTTTTGAGAGCTTTTGTTTTGCATCATCTAATTTTAAAAAATATTGTTTCGGACTTATTCAATCACTTAACTTTTGGAGAATTTTTGATTAGCCACTCAACTTTAACAACTCACGTTCTAATCATCAATGTTTATAAAGACTAATGTTTTGATTACTCAATCGTTTAGAAAGTAATCGTTGCTTGCAATTGGAATTGACTAGTTTGGTTTGGTGTTTGGACTTTAAAAACATGATGCAAATGTACCCTATTTCTAATAATGGCAATAGCAATACCTAACTGCAAAGGACGCCATTGGTGATGCATCGTGGTGGGGCGACAGCAAATTAATCCCTTTGAAAACTACATTTCATGGTGGTGGCGGAGGAGGAGCTTCATAAATATATATAAGGGATTGTGGTCAATATTTGGATATATACATACACACACATATATAGAGCTACGTTAATGGCCATTGAAGCATTTAAGAAATCAGAGTTAAAAATTGTTTTTCACTTAAACGCACACCTGCAATTTTACAAATATACTTATTTTTATTATTTTGAATTATAAAATTACTCTTTTAATTATTTATGTATTTTGAGTTTAAAATAAAAATTTAGTACATTGCATAAAAAAAGTGTACTGAGAATAATAGAACTTGTTAACTTCTAGTTTGAAGAAATTCTAATTTTTTTAAAAAAATAAAAATTATTTTTTGTGTATATATTTAAAAATAAATTTTAAAATAATTCATTTTTTAAAACATCTTAAAAAAAGTTAGTTAAAAATATAAGAAAATAACACATTATTCACTTATCAACATCATGTTTTTTTCAAATACATAGTACGTTTGATCCATGAAAAAAAATAAGAATGAAATAAAATAATTATTTTGTAAAAATAGAATAAAGTGAAAATATAAAAAAATAATTATTACATAATTTGATACGATGAATAAAATATGATAGGAATAGTTATTATAATTTATTATTATGTTTAATTGATAAAAATAATTTTGGAATAAGAAAGAAATAGAAGATATTAAAAAAATCTTTTATTATAATATAAGATAATTTATTTTTTTATTTTTAAATACTAATAATTGATCATTTATTTAAAATATTAATATTTTATTTATAATTTAAATATCATTATGACCATTGATTTTTAATTTAATTTTTAAATAGTAATAATTTATAATTTATTTAAAATATTAGTAATTGATAATTTAATTTTTATTTATAATTTAAATGTTATTATGATTATTTTTTAATTTATTTTATTTTTAAATATTAATAATTTATAATTTATTTTAAATATTAATAATTGATAATTTAAATATTAATATTTTATCTATAAGTTACTCTTTAACATTTTAAATATTAATATTTTATTCAAAATTTGATATTTGATATCAAGGAAGAGGAGGAGGAAAGATAAAAAATAATATTTTAATACAAATAAGGTTGTAATTTTTTAAACTTGTAAGGAATATTTTGATCTTTTCAATTTTTTAAAGTTTATTCCTTAATTATGGAATAATCAATATCACGAGGATGATGGTATTAGTTATTCCTTAATTTGAAAAATAACCATTTCTTGAACTATTTCACAATCAAATAAAGAAACAAAAATTCCTTAGGAATAAAGGGCCAATCCCCCAACCGAACATACAGTAACTCTTCACAGCAATGCTAAAATTGAAATGAATTTTTACAGTCATTCCGCACAACACTTTTTCAATAAATTACGTTTTCCAAAATACTTATAGTTGAGTAAATAAGACATATCCAGTGAAGAGGGGTGGGGGTAAAATTAATTAGCAAATGTTGGAGGAGCTTTTATGCTTCTTAATATTTTAATTTTTTAAGTTTTTAATCCAATAGTAACTACTAATAAATATTCCTTTGTTCAAAGAGTTGAATCCTTGAATTATAGATAATTAAAGGCATTTATTAATAATAAATTTGGCACCCGTCGCCCTAAGCATGCCATTTTGGAGTTAATAGAACTTTAATTTTCAACTTTCAACCATGTGAACATGGAAGCCAATAAAGTACAATAGTATACTCTTTTTGGGCTGATGTTTAATCATCTTGTCACTATGCAATGGTGTAGTGAGTTGAGTAGCATCCATCCAAATGCTGGCCAGCTAATTAAAGGCCTCAAAGCAATACTTGTGTTGAAGTGACTGAGGAAGGAATCCAAAAAAAGACATATGCCTTGCATTCCTGCACGCTACTACTTTGTGGTAGGTCTCAGTGTTTCCATCAGTGTCTGAGCTTACCCTCTCCGGTTTGGCATATATGGAGAAGTTCGATATATACTCGAATTAAGAAGAGATTTGAACATCAAACATCTATATATCTGTCAAGAAAAGGGCAACAATCAATGATCATTGCAAATGAAATATAACATAAGCATGAAGCAAGCATGTTTATACGACATAAACGCCATTTATATATGAATTGGTGCACTAAATGAAGTTCACTCTCATCCCAAGCTTTGAAGATTCTGATAAAGAGTCAAACAAACGGACTTTCCCTCCAAACCCAAATTTGGGAAGGACCATTGGCTGTGCCTTTCATAGAGAAATTAATATTCCCATTTGATAGAGAAATGTTATACCGTCCAAGGCAATACTTAGATAGAGAGATTCTGTAGAGTTTAGTTCTTTTCATCTTTTTCTCTTTTCCAACTTTCTTTTATCTAATCTAATCTTCATCTTCATGTGATCAGGTAAGATAAGCAATTGTTAGTCAAGAAAGTGACAACCATTCTCGAGGGATTGCCAGTTGGTGAAATTATGAGAGCTCAATGTGGGAAGATAGGATTAGGTTTAAGCTTTCAAATCTTTCTCATCATTTGAAACGTTGTAAAGCTCAT